CAACTAAACCAGCACAGCCTATTTACCCTATAGGTTAACTTGCACCAGGCCGCAGGCCTTGGTCGTCGCGTTATCTACAGGGTAAAAACCGACTACTGGCTCAAGCAGTGGGAAAAATTTTCGGTTTTCCCTGCCAAGACCGCACAGACCCCATTCGATCTCCGCTTCAGGCAGACCTCCCAGCCTAGAACAACACATCTAGGGCTAACACTATGGCGAAAACACAAGTCCGGGTTCTTAAACCCCCTTCTTTTCTCGTAGAATACTACATCTTCGGCCAACTCACCCCTACCGTTTAAAACCAAGTCTCTTACAAAATCCGCTTTGGAATTAAACCAACTAAAAACACCTTTCGCTACTGATTTCAAACAATAAAGATTGTTTTTAACCAGAGAGTCTACTAACGCCTCCGGGACGAGACCTTAACGCTTACCCTTAGGCTATCTACCCCGCCACTTGGAACACGCTTCGATTCCCTTCAAACTCCACTAACTCCGGAAAAAACCTCCACTTCTACTGAAATAGAAGTAGATACCCCAAGCTCCCCTATATTTCAAGGGGGGAAAAGAGACCTCCGCCTTCACCAAGCGTCCAGAGTACCTCCTCCTCTAACTTAGAGGTCTTAATCTATCCTAGACTGCAAATCCATCCTAAAAAACCCTCACAACAACCTCTACAAAAATTACAGAAACTCCAGCTGTAACGAGGCCTCTTTAGCCTAGGCGTTAGAATTGCCTAGCGGGTAAATAAGTTCGAAGGGTTTACCTTAAGTAATTGATTAATTGATTAATTGCTATTTAACGTCCGGCGGGTCCACGCGCGGTTCGACTATTTACTTGCCACCGTGTGCCCTATAGCCTCCTAAGGGGCATAGGACGTGCCACGCTGCCTACGGCTTACGCTGTTAGGGTAGCATATCGCGGACGAAGCGTCTCTATAGGCTCTTTTCGTAGTAAGTTTTCCTCTAACTCCTACTCGTGTGTCTTCTTTGCTAGAGTGCTAGAGCCTTCAAGGCTAGGAAGTAAGAAAGAAATACATATAAAGATAGGACAGAGTAGAAAGGTAGAAAGGCGGGTCTTTTCGTTAAATTCCCGCTAGAGGGGGTTCTAGGAGTGTGCCTGTCTTCCTAGGGCAGATGTCCGTAAAGAAGCGGGATTCCTCTGCGAACTTTGCGAAGAGAGTTGCTCCTCTTAGGATGCCGAGGATTATAGAGATAATGCTACCAGGTTTTCCTTAAATGCATTTTATTCGTTTCCGTGCAAGCCTATAGAAGGCGAAGTATATTATAGTTTTCGGGCGACCGTATCGACAGTAATTGTCTACGTCCAGGTGGTTAAACCGGTCGTAGTATGCCTGGAAGTCCCTATAGCCTGACCGAGCTGCTAGCAGGTGGCCGAGTATTTTTCTCGGTAGGAGGAGTTCCGGAGGTGCTCCTTTTGCTAGAGGGATCTCTAGGTCCTGGTAGGATTTAGGAGCGTGTTCGTCCCACCATCTTTAGAATAGTTCTCGCGCAGTCTGTCTTACGAGCGCTCTGGATTTTACGATTGTTAATGGGATATTTGGCGGGGCTAGAGCTGCGGCGCCCTGTTTCGCGAGGCGGTCTGCTTCCTCGTTGCCTAGAATCTCTTGGTGCCCGGGTACCTAGCGTACTACTATCTCTCCTGGGTGTATGTGAAGGGCGCGTCTCCTTTATTTTTATAACGTCGTGAGTTGCCGGATCCTAAGGATGCTTCCTTGGCTGGAGTCTGTCGGTTTACCCTTCAGCGCTCTCCATGCTACCTCCTAATTATCGAGAAGCACAAAGATGTTGGTCGCTAAACGCGTGTTGGCAAAACGGGCCGCAGCCCGTATCGCTGCTTCTATTGCGATAACTTCTGCGTCGTATACCTCTGCAGCGGTACCTAGGCTTTAGCACCTTTCGAAGATCTTATAGCCCCCCTAATAACCTATATACCCTAGTCCTATCCTGTCTATGGTATCCTGGGATCCGTCAGTATAGAGGACAATGCCGGCTGAGGGGATGGCTTACCTAGAGGACAAGAAGTGTAAGAGAATTAAGAGATAAGTTACGCGAAGGATCGGGCGTAGGCGTGTTACTATAATCTTATGATACGATTGATACTTTGAGTTGACTATGAAGGTCCCATATACTGCTAGAGAGCGTGGTCTATATACATGTAGGAAAATCTAGCAATCTGGTGTTGCTGCCCGTCCCCTAGGCTCGTGAGGGCGATAGTTACCTGGTTTAGCCCGAACTATGGAGGGCGACGTGTGGGGCGCACGTAATCTGTGCCACTTTTCTGACAACTGGCTTCCTGTAACCCGACAACCAACTTCTCTTTCTTAGAGCGGATGCGATAAGTCTATTACTCTTGCCCTGCTCTGCTGGCCCTGCCTTCTTCGCCATACTGCGGAATTTCTATTGAAAAATGGAATCGAGTCTGATCGAGTCTAATTGAGAAGGTATAGCTACCTCGGAGCTATTTGTGCCTGCAGGGTGGGTACTCTGGTGGCTACATGGAATCTGCTAGAATATAGCACTATGTTGTCTATAATGCGCACTCTAACAATTTCTGTAGGCGATATTTGCCCTTGTGGTCCTAAATCGCCTGCGGGCTTCTTGGCTCCTAGTTGTTATCCGAGTCCCTGCGGGTTGAGTTCCTATGCGGGCCTTGATTGCACGTGTTAGCCTGTCCGTGCGGCGGCTAATGCCTTATAGACTTTGGATCCGTGTGGCCGTTAGGTCCTTGGGGTCTCTAGACCCGTGTAGGCCTTCTTCGCATAAGGTCTTCTTGACCCTACGGGTTGCTTTCCCTTGCGGCCCATAATAGTTTAGAATAAGCTCTACTCTACAAAAGAGAGTGTCAGCCAGGATTACTCCGATAATACGCATTTTCAGCCTTACTCTTTAGTTGTTACACAACAGCCTTACCCTGCACCACTCATTTATCCACTGCAAGGAAATAAGGACCTCAAAGAGAAAACGTGTTCTTTTAAATAGCAGCATATATACCTCTATAGGTAGCAATGATCTAGAAGGAACAGCGGCGTCCAATTCCTCGCGCCAGCTTCGCAGAAAGAAAAAGCTTTAAGTGAGCTAAAACTACGCACTTTCTCGATCTAAACCGTCGAAAACCTACTAATTTTCCTCGTCCTTATAATCCCTAACCCCTTTAGATGAACCCGCCTCCGCTCCTCCTTACGTATTTAGCGAACTAACGTTAGCTACCTTCGGCTTCTTGGCCACGATTTCCCTATTATCTCTACTAATTTCTGCCTGGGATGAGGAACGCTTCGCGGCTTTCTCGATTACTGCTACCCGGCCTATCTTCTCTACTAAGTTCTCGGCCATGTTCTGAAGTATCTGAACGATCTTCTCGTAGCCCCGAGAATAAGTAGCTTGGAGAGCGTTGCCGTACTCGCCGCCCTGCGCGTTAACGTCGGCACCCTTGTCGAGCAGCATCTGAACGATCTTCTCGTGGCCTAGAGAATAAGCAGCTTGGAGAGTGTTGCCGTACTCGCCGCCCTGCCCTTTTACGTCGGCACCCTTGTCGAGCAGCATCTAAACGATCTTCTCGCGGCCCCTGTGAGAAGCAGCCTGGAGGGTATTGCCGTACCCCCTATTCTGCGCGTTGACGTCGGCACCCTTATCGAGCAGCATCTGAACGATCTTCTCGTGGCCCTTAGAAGAAGCAGCCTGGAGAGCATTGCCGTAGAAGCCGCCCTGCGCGTTGACGTCGGTACCTTTGTTAAGTAACGTCTGTACTGCACATTCTACGCCTTCTCGTGATGTATAGTACAGAATAGGTGTAGTTTGCTCTCGATCATCATGCTCCGGCCAGCTACGCTCTGGGTTGTATATTTTATAGCATGTTGTATAAGAGTTTTTGCACAAAACAAACTCTGAAACAAGAGTACGGACTGTATCGCTATTTCCTTCAGATACGACGGTATGACTCGTCCAATATCGCGCAGAATACTATGCCAGAGGGAAGGATTCCATGATCTGTTTTGTTGAAAGGGTTGACTTCAAGTTCAATATATATACTAAGCATACTTCCGCGATTAAACCTCTGGCGGCTGTTTCTTTAAAGTTCTTGGCAGTATCTTTTTCGAGCCGTTCTGATGTCAGATACTCTTTGACTGAGAAGTGTGCAAGCTGTAGCTCAGTCACTTGTTGATCTTCAATCACGCTCTGCGTCCTCTTTATAAGAGTTACAAAACTAGAGCAGTAAACTGCAACCTCCTCGGGATTTAGAATACGGTTCTTAGGATTAAACCGTTGCTTTTCTCTAGGCGTTACTACGATCGTATCGACAAGCTCCTTAATCCTCATTGGCCGTTCTGAATAAGCTAGGAATTGTAGAATTCTTATAGCCTTGTATAAAGCTGGGCGCGAGGAATTGGACGCCGCTTGTCCTTCTAGATTACTATTACCTATAGAGGTATATATACTGCTATCTAAAAGAACACGTTTTCTCTTTAGTAGTGGTAAATAAGTAGTGCAGGGGTAAGGCTGTTGTGTAACAACTAAATAATGAGGCTGATAAACGAGAGTTATCAGAGTGATCCTAGCTGACACCTTGGCTTTCCTTTAAGGAGGGATGTTAGCCATAATCCTATCGTACGTCTCGTCTAGTGTCTATAGCAGTGATTCGAGCGCATATTTCAGCGCCTCGTAATCAATACAATCTTCTAGACTTTAGAGCTGCAGTGCGGCCCATCTGAACCTATATCATTTTAGTATTCGCCCACTAAAAGGTAAGGAGGAGGGAACAGTACATTCCATTTGCTTTCTTCCTAAGAGCAGTTTCAATTTCTTCTTAAACATCTGGTCGTGAATGCCACCTGCTTAAGCCTTCTCCCTCTTTAACTTTGGCGTAGATGTATGCATGTATATTATCCGCTACCGAATCACCTCCTATCGGGATGGTATCATGATCATGAGCCCATTCTCTTAAAGCCGAGTTGATCTCCTGTTCAGGTCGACTCGTTACAAGAAGATGGACGTTCGTCTGCTGCGAACCTTTCAGAAGCTTTCGTATCCACGGCAGTAGCTCTTTGGTTTGAGATCCCTTCTAGCATTCGTCTAGGGCATCGAGGACGATCCAGACTTCATCAGCTTGCTGAACCATGTTTTAGAAAGTCGTGTAGAGCGAATCGGGGCTTGGCTGCCGGCGTCCGTTCTCGTGAGTCGAATATAGTAAATATAGAGACCTTTGGGCGTTTTTATTTTTATAGTACAGCTAGTAGATAAGTAAACGGATTGCGTTTTCCCATAACTACTTGCCGGTATCAGTGAAGTCGAAGTAGAAATACAGCAAGCTCTGGGAATAAGCCTTGCTTTTACTTAGGTTCTCAATGATAGCGGAACTCAGGATTGTCTTCCCGCACCCAGGGATGCCGTAGAGCCAGAGGAACGAGTTTGGTTGTGTTTTCCAGTTCGTGAAAGCTTTGCCGTCAAGGAACCAGAGACCTGACCTAGCGTGTCGTTGCTTCAAAGCTCTATTGTAGTTGGTTGAGGGCTCGGGAGCCGAAAGCCACTGGTTAATCTCTTGTTGTTGACGATCTAGCTTTAGCTCATCGATGCTGCTTTTGTTCTCTTTCGTGATTGACTGTATACTGTCCACATTCACTACAACTTTAGAAAAGTAAATAACAGATCCCTTGACAGGTAGAAGTTGGACTAACTATCTTTAATCACATCCACAGCCTTTGGCATCGCCTCCAGTTGCCCTGCTGGGACATATCCAAGCAATTCTTTTGCGAATGCAGCTGCTGTTGCAGCGGCGTATGGCTGCCATCGATCGTTTTTATACGAGTCCGCATAGTCGCTTATTCCCCTAATAACAAGGCAGGGGAGGTTGTTTATTAGACCAGCGGCTTCTATCTTATAGTAGATGCATCCACCTGGAATATACCGGATGAGCTCTGTTCTAGCAGTAGCATCCTTCACGAGTGTGTCCCCGGAAGCTATAGTGCCGTAGTAAGCCTTAGGGTTCTCGGGGACGGGTCGTAGGTCGCGTTTTAGGATCTTCTTCAGATCGCAATCACTGTAATCCTTGCCATAGGTGTGTTCGTACGATGGATCGAATAACTTATCGTTTTCGAAACCCTGATAGTTGTACCCGGGCTCGCCAGGCTGAGATGTGAACATTTCAGGATTTCGCGTCTCTATCTCCCTTAGAATCGCTGGCACTCTGAATTTCTTGCGCCTATGCTTTGCCTGAATATTCGATAGTGCTGAAAGCAGAACCTTAGGCGGCTTATTAAGGAAGTCTTTTCGTTCGACCTCCTCTCCCTTCTTCACTTTTTGAAGGTCATACTGGACGACACCACCACTGCTTCCAGTCGGCTGACTGACAGCAACGTCGCCGAGGCGGATATCGGCACCCAGCTCGGGGATACCACCGCCGATTCCGACCAGTAGACCGAACCTGACTTGTAGGAAGGAGTGCTAGGATATAATTCACGTCACATGTTAGAAGACCCATGGTTGGTTCGATCATAGCGCTCAGCTATTACGTAGCGGAGTAGCTAGTCATCTTGGCACACCGTCGACTAGCAATTTTTCTGCGTTTTTACTAGGGTCTATAATCTCCGGTCACTTAAAACAAACACGACTACAGAGTAGAAAGCAAGGTCAGGGATACTAGATATTAATCTTTAGTCAGCATTCAGCCTCGCTCTACCATACATCGTTGGTGCGCATCCTGTAGCGCGAGGTGCAGCGTACCCTTATCGGTTCCGGGGACATTTAACAGCCCTAGACCTATACGGCTAGCTTTAGAGAACTTAAAATCAGCTTGGGTCTAGATCTAGCCCCTAGGTAACCTCTCCCAACCAGCGTTTAAATATTTTTACAATGACCCTGGCGCATTTCGCAAAAAGAAAACGCAGCGCCAAAAAGACATAAGGTAATCGGCAGATCCGAAGCCAAGTCTCCTCTACTCTATTAATAAGGCGTCTGCAGAGGCGGCGTCAGCTCCGTTTAGCCAAGACCATCTCGCGCGCGCTTATCGGTCGGAGCGGCAAGGCAGATTCAACGCCTGTTTCAGCCCCGTAGACTCCGCTCCTCTTCCCACTTGCCTACTCGAGACAACGGCCGCCACGTATTTAGGCAGCGACGCCGGAGGCGCGCATAGCCCTAGGCATTAGGCAGCAGCGCAGCTCACGCGATGGAGGAAGGCATAGCAGCGAGTAGATCCCGCCAATGATAAATGCGTAAAATTTTGCTAAGTACGTTAAGTAGTAGGCTGTGTCGTCGGTCGACTCATCGGCAGTCGCAGCCCTAGTTAGCTCTTCGATGCATTTAATCCGAGCGCTAATTTCTCCCGCGAAAAGTGGGCGAGCATGGATGCCGGGGTATACGACGGGATGGGCAAGGTAGTTTCTCTACGCGATCAGCTGGTGGCGTCGGCAATTCTGGCAGGAAACAGGGCAGGTTATTCTCGTCACCTAAGCCTGCATCATTCCGCGCGAAGGCGGCTGGTTCGCTCGCTTCCGGAAGGCCTCTCGGCGACGCCGGTTAGCCCGAGGCCGTCCCCAGGTACTATATATACTCGACAGGTTACACCTTCGCTTGCTCCCGTCTCTGTCTTTACTTTCGTGCACTCCTTGCTTAATGCCATGTAACCCCTTCGCGAGAAAAATACCCTTCGGTGTCCCGCCAGGATTTCGCACAGTCTGCCAAGAAAAACCGCCTAACCAACCGAAACTTCGCCGCATACCTACCCCGAAGCTACCCGGAGAACTAAATAAGTTCCCAAGCGAAATTCAGGTCTTTCCAGCTCTACATCTACCCGGAGCACTCCAGGGCTGCGGCGCCGGTTTAACATGCGAAGCTGTAAGAGATAGCTATCAACGCTTCGTCGCCTGAGGTGAAGCTTTATAAGCTAGTACCAAACAGGATATATCCACCGAGACCACGTGATAAGGCGTGGTATCGGTAAAAACATCCACGAAGCCTTGTAACAGTATGCAACTAAGCTACTTCGTTTTATAACTGGGAATACACGTTTTAGATATGGGTGATACTAGCGAATTGTGCGGGGTATGCAGCACTCTTCTGTTAGACAGGTTTTTCTAGACAACATTAGGGGACCCTTCCGATCGCTAGGGAAGGTAGACAGCCAGCTAGTCGTGGTTAACGATCCGCGATAGCTCCACGTGTCCTTTGTGCCGCCTAGTCTCTTACGCTCTTCAGAATGATCATTATGGCGGAATGTTGAACCCTGGAGATGAAATCTACTATTTTCGCTCAATTTATAGAGAAATCTCTAACAGGTAAGAGGATGGAAAGATATGCTCCTAAACTTCGAGCTAACGAAGATATCTAGTGACGGTTATATTACGAATAGACTTGTTGTCTCTACGAATTTCGCATTTCTCGACAATGTCTCCCGCGAGTTTTCTCGAATCACGGATTGCTGGGGCAACTACAACAGCCTGCAAGTTTATAAATATGCTGAAGGCTCGATCATGCTTGTGCAACCTTATTCGGCACGTAACGGCATCGAAGCTAAAACCTTATGCCACGGTCGGAAGACCCAAGCCAGTGTAGACTGCTCTCTCATCGATTCCTGGATCAGCCTATGTACCAAGACATACAGTACCTGTTCACTACTTCCGTTCGAGAATCCAACTGGCCCTTCAAGACTCATCGACATCGAAGCACAACAGGTTGTGCGCTTTGGGTCCGAAAACGATAATAGGCCCGGGAGTGACGTGTGCTACGCAGCCCTGAGCTACGTATGGGGGAGTGTTGGCCAACTAGAACTGAATGCGAAAACCATGGAAACACTGGAAAAGCCCCAAGGCCTCGCACAATACGCCCATGATATCCCAAAGACCATCGAAGATGCACTGAAACTCTACCGTAAGCTTAGGATTCCCTACTTGTAGGTAGACTCTTTATGTATCTGTCAAGATCCTGGAAAGGAAAAGGAGCAACAGATAAAAGTAATGGCGACTATATACAACTATGCTCACCTTACTATTGTAGCTGCCTTTGGGGATGACTCCGAAGCCGGTCTTCCCGGCGTCGAGGATGATTCACGGCCAGCCCAACGAATAGAGCGCATCAACGGCTTAACGCTGGCCTATACTCCGCATGATTTCCGACGGGTCATGGAAACTTCCCGTTGGGCCAACAGAGGCTGGACCTATCAAGAAGGTATACTATCACGAAGGCTACTTATCTTCACCCGAGAACAAGTATATTTTAGGTGCAACGAAGCGACGTGGATAGAAGATACCGTTCTTAAGCCGTTTCCCCCAACTAGCAGTACGGTGGTTCAAATGCAAACACCGCAGACTGAACAGCCTTTTTGGAAGAAGTCTTTACCTGAGGTATTTGCGGGTGAAGACACCTTTAAAGAATATTCCGAAATGGTTCAATGCTACACTAAGCGACAACTCTTAAAGCCAGAGGATGCTATTAACGCATTCTGTGGCATCGTCGACGTACTCGATGCTTCGGACAAGGAAGGATTCTCCTTAGGATTACCAAACAAATACTTCAGTATTGCGCTCTGCTTCTCATTTTACTGGACCGATGAACCAATTTCCCTCCGGCCGATGTTTCCGACGTGGTACTGGGCTGCTTGGCAATCTAAGTATCCGGTCGAATATGATGAAAGCTTACTCCAAGCGGCCGGCGATACAAGCTCAGACCTTAGTCTCTATACATTCTATTACTACGGCTCGAGGGGCATCACGCCTATCAACAAGTCCAAAAATAGAAGACGGCTTACTAAGGACGAATCTTGTCGAGTATACAAAGACCTGAAAGCCCGCAACATTCTTGAATGGAAGACGCGTTTCCCTATTTTCTTCTGCGGCATGGTGGTATGGCTGTATATTTCAAATATCAACGATGGATCCTGTGATGTTAGCTCTGATGCGAAGGGCTCTGTTCTGGGGACAACCTATCTCTATTCAGACTTTCATTATATGAAAGGGCAGGACGTTGAATTTGTTGTAGTATGCCAATACGGCGAAAAATCACGTCTTATCGCAATTAATACGCAGGATAGACTTTCATCAAGGATAGGGTTAGATACGATTGAGCTGGATTGGTTTAACTTACGAGTAGACTATCGTGTCGTAATTTTAGTCTAAGTAATATAGCCCCTTGTTTTTAGTCCCTATTATTATTTACGCCTTTAATATTTTTTTAGATGCAAGCTTAATATCTTTTATTGTTATAACTCATATTTTTTAATATTTATTTCTGGTTTAGTTCTCTACCTATATCTATATTATTGTCAGCTAGGATTACCCGATTATATCCGCGTTTCACTTTAACATTTGTTATACAAAATCTTACCCCCTTACCTATATATTAAATTGAGTTATATTTATTTACCCTAATCTATCGCCTAAGCGATATCCAGGCTACAGACTATTTAAAGGAGATATGCTAGTAATATACACTGTAGTGCTTTAATCTGGGTAAGTATAAGGAGTGACGTGGGCTGAAGGAAGGAATAAGGTAAGGGTTCTACTCGCTAGCGTCTCTATTCTGGAACCTTTCTGTTTGACGTACCAATTTAAGTACCCACTTAAGTTGCGTAGCCGAAATCCTCCACTTTTTATTATCCGTGCGAGGCTGAGAGTTGCCTTTTAGCTTGCCACCCAAAAGGCTAGATAGGCAGTTTCTCTAGAGTCCGGTTTCTTAGCACATCCTTTGCCGATTCTCTTGGAGTAGTAAATAGTCTAGTAGCACATGGGATGTTAATTCTACTTCTCCGTATTCGTATTTATCGTTGTTTATCCGTCCTACTCGTTTACGGTGCTGGTTGAGCCAGCAATGGCCTGTTCTTAGCTGGGCTAGCAGCCCTGTTAAGTTACGTGAGAGTATTGTTTATTTGTTTGATTCATTTTACGTCCGTATGCAATTGGAAACTATAACAGACGGTTCTACCCAAAAAATTACTAAAGGGCTGCGTATTTTCGAGATACAAGCAATTTAAGGGTAAGAAACGGTTGAATCTAAGCCAGTTCTAGAATTTTAATGCCGCTCGCGGCTTACAAGACGCACGATCATGCGCCTGTGCTAAGGGCCCAGAGCGGGATATGAGAGGGCGAGGGCGGCTGGGTCGCCCGACGTGGGAAAGCCTCTGCGCATCTATGGATGGTACGGTGCCGACCGTTGCGGGATAATGGCGACATGGCGGTCGAGTAAGCGAGTGTATTACCGTAGACTAAAAGTTGTCGATGGCGAGGGGTGGTACCCAGGCTAATATTCCTAACTCTGTCACCGTTGGTCCCCCGGACTGAATCAATGAGGCTGTATATTAACCTGCGCAATAAGGGAAAAGAAACAATTTTTTAGATTCGAGGTGGAGTACTATATATGACCCTAAGAATCTATCCTGAAAAGGATAGTACCATTCTTTATCTCTATCCCTAGTTGTATAGCTATCTGCTCCCGAGTTAGCGTCCAGCTGCATATCCTACTCTGTGTCTTTTACTAAGCTATTGGTTTCAAGTCCTCCGCCCGCTCGCGGCTCCGTGTCTATGACAGAGTCTACTATAGAAGCCGCAGCAGCAGAGCCCGCTACAGGTAAACGAAGCACCTTCCTGTCAAACCACTCGCGGTACTCTGTCGTTGCCCATTTACCAAGGTATTGGAGAGTTGCAATAATCTGGTAGACGCCTAGCTCATTGCATGAGTCACCAAACTGGATGGGGCCCCAGATCGTCTATTAGGGGAAACGGTTAGTCGGTGTCAGCTTTGCAAGATGAAATATGTGATACTTACGGTCTGCTTGCCCTCCCCACGCTTACGCTCCGCTATGAGGAAGTGCCACTTCGAGCCTTGAACGACTAGCAGCGGCAGCGCAGAAAGCGGTTCCATAGTATCTTCTTGCTTCTCGTGCATAGCAAGCAGCTCCTGTAGCCGCTTGAAATAAGCCCCGACCCAGATACCCACCTGCAGCTCCGCGGACCGCCACTGCTCGGCTGCAGGCTTTATCTCCAAGCTTATAGCGATAGGCGCACGTCTCAGGGGCGAGTACAATGTTTGATTAATAGAGAAATCCGTGTCCCAAGCCGCGAGCGCGTTCACGGAATTCGCCTCCTGCGTATCCATCTGCAGCACGACTGCAAAGTCGACATTACGTGTCTTCTGGCTGCCATATTGTGGGAGCAGGCGTCTTTCAATCTTCGCTACGCTGCAGTTGAGGAAGTCGATAATGCCGTCAAATGTTAGGTTTTCAAAGGCGGCGGACAGGATGGCGGTATGTATCCGGCAATTCCATTCAGCTTCGCAGTGGTTATGGGATACCTTGGTACGGCGCAAGATACGGTCGACGGTGTCTTGGTTGGGGATCGGACCAAGGAGGTCGCGGGAGTTATCATTGTCGAAGGCAAGGTATTCATTATCGGGGTCGTCGGGGAGGAGAGGAGGGTTAGAGGCCTATATAATATCTAGTCAGCTTAGCCTATTACCGTTGCAAAGCAAACTTACCTTGAGCCGGTTAGGCAAGACACTACGACTAATGCTAAAGAGCTTGACCCGCTTAAATATATCCGCTAGTCTTACTGGCAAGTCTTTTGGATCGTAGTCCCTGCCGACGATCGGCTCAAACGCGAATAACGTATCGCTGATCTGCTTGACGGACCGCCCTGAGTCTACCGAAACGCTATCTCCTGTGTCCGTTAATGCCGACGTTGTAGATTTCGTGCTCTTCTTTTTCTTCTTCCCGCATTGGAGATTGAACCGATCCGCTCGTGGCGTCCTGTCGAGGTCCTCTTCTTCGTCCTCTGCCTCGTTTTGATCGCCCGTCCTGCGACGCTTTGCATCGGGCTGATGGCCGGTCATAATAAGCGCATGCTTCCGCTTCGACGAATACAGAGGCGGCGATGGCAATAGCAAGCCTTCAAGCCACGCGACAATAGGATGCGGCCCGAAGTCGCTGTCGGAATCGCTGGGCGAGCGCGAGCGCGGAGGTGTGTGCAGTGGCATGGCGAAGTAGAGCGGGCATGGCGACGTGGATTGGGTTGTAAAAGGGCGCTGAGGTTGTATTACCGGGCAAGCGCGATGCGGCGTTTCTACGACGACGCTTCGCACGGACCTACATAGGGATGCTCTATAAAACCGAGGCCTGCTCGGGCGACTTGATCATGGCCGCTTTTCAAATATAGACAGACACAAATAAATTCATCCGTTTCAAAATCCAACCCAGCTACTTTACAGAAATTCATTATACTCATTGTAAACTCTTTCCCTCTAGAGCTGCTTGCGAGTCATGCACCATAATGAGCTTGACCGCGCCCGAGCTTGGAGCTTAGGGCATCTCCCCCGCACCCCCATTTTCATCACCACGACCACCGCAACCCATCCATCCATGTAAACAACATATCAAACCTCACAGGCACACCGCTTCCCACGCACATAATCTACTATAATAACAGGTGTCGGGTCAAGCAACTCCAGGCCAAACGAGAATGTCCTCCGACGCCTTCAGCTCTCCGCGTTTCTACTTGCGGTCTGCTTGCGCCATGCGGTAACCGCTGCTGCGATCATGCGGCGGAAGGCGCGATCGTTTCCTAACACTTTGCGAATATCTTAATAATGCTAGTTCGATAAGATATTATATCGGAACGAGTGTCATCGCTAGGCTTTGTGACGCGGAATCGGAGCAGCGTGCGGCGCTGGTTTTTTGGGACTCGGTCGCGATGTGCGCGCCTAACTCGTATGTATCTTAACGAATCAACGACTTAACCTGCTCACCTACTAATTTTAATGCTTTCTATACTTTCGGAGTGCGCATCTGAATACGATTCGTGTAAATTACATCTCGATATAGTTTAACCGACACCCTCGAACTGCCCGATAACGATCTTAAACTATACGATGCACGATCCCGATAGATATATAACACCGCTGCAACACTATCGAATGGAAGAGCCATCGCTTCTTAAGTCCGAGCCGAACACCTTAAATGCACCCTTATACCAAAGTCAAGCCTAGCGCGTTAGCCTATACAGCGCCGCTTCCGACACGTCCGTGCCGTCGAACGTGCTACACTACTCCAACCGATATCGCGTGCTATACTATACTACTCCATTTTCGACCGCGTAAGAGTGTCCCACGCGCAAGTTTGGTATTAGAGCGTAAACCCAGAGTGGACACGTTGGCGCTGGATTGGCGCTTAAAACCTTCGAGGGGAGGTTTTCACGCGGTAGAAGTCGATTCCGCCCGCTCCGTAGGATGCAAGAGCTTCCTCTCAGCGACAAAAGCACGATTACCAAAGATGCCGACGAAGCCCTAATTTTATGGGTTAGTAAAGTCAGTTATGCGTATCCTAACAACCCCAAGCAAGAAGTCATCCTGACTGACCTTCTCCATGTCAGGCTATGACTACCGCAACTTCTCCAACACCGTTAATGCCTCTACCGAGCTCCTTGAGCGTTCTAAGGCCGTTGCTAAAGCGTATCTTCATCCGTTCGTTATAACCGCCTTCCTGCCCTTCCCCCGACCTGGCGTCCTCAACAGGAGCTGCGCAACCACTACCTTATGGACATTTTGTCCATGATAAGCGTGACTATCGGAGCATGGCGCGTTGAACAGGTTGTAGAAGCTGGATCAATGCCGGGCGATTACGGGCAGAGAGCGACAACGTGGGTGCAGATAATTGGCAATTAAGGTCACATATGGATGCGGTTAGGTCGAGGGGGATGGAGCCAAGTTGGCCACTCGCGCTTTCCTTTGCTAGCGTACAAAACTTCACCTTATGATCCAGCGTGTCACGGTTTTCACCTCTTCCACCTCATCTACTTATCCTGAATCGTTGTTCAGCGCAGACTCGGGCGGCTTAGGCTCGCTCAATCCTCTCTTGGCAAAGTGGTGGGCAGCAAGTATAACCGTGTGACGGGACACGAAGTCTTCTCCCAGGCAGGAAGGCTGCGCACGGCATCGCGAACCGGGCTGCGATTACTTTTGGAAGTTGGCTAAGAGCTGCATCAGCATGGAAAAAAGTTTTCTACAACCCGATCTTAACCGAGTGGCACAACCTGTCCCTCCGCGCCCTCGCGATGTCGTCCCACGTTACGCTTGGAAACCTTTTGTTCAGACGCAGCATCAGCAAGTCTAGCACAACAAGCTTGTCGAGCAGCATGGTAGAGAAGGAAAAGTCGATCAGTGTGGCGCGGATGGGCTCCGAGCCGCCGTAATGAACCAAGAAATCGATCCATTTTAAATACGTTTAGTTTAATGATAGTCAACCAACAACCCTTCCCAGTGCGCCAGTTTCCGTGCCGATGTAAGACTACAGTAACTGTTGAACAGTGCGAGAAAGCTGGACACTGCTATCGCATCAAATTGAGAGGAACTGTCTACTTGAATACAAAGTTTCCTTTGGAAGAAGGGTGACTATCGTTCCACTAATAGGAGAGAATGGTGTAATTAAAAAAAAGCAAAGTGAAAGCAGAGTTGGTGATAAGCGAGACAACATAGCTGTGGTGGTGATGATTGACAGTAACTAACTATCCGCAGGCGCCTGCTGATGATGTTGAAACCGACGCGCTGCGGCGAATCACGCGACAAAACAGCGCTGTAATAGTAACACCCCTAACAGCAGCAGCGCAGGTCAACTGTCTTGAGAGTTATGCATTTTTTTCCGTTTCGTGAAAAACCTCAGCAGCACTTTGTACATCTACCACACGGCGCTGAACCGTACTAGTTTTTACTAACAATAGAGAGTACTCTAGTTAGTAACTTATATTGGTTGCCTTATCCATGTTCATCCGTTGGCCCAAAACTAAACACAGAACGCCAGCATACAGACTTTATATCTTTTTACCATGATCCTTTGGCTTTTTGACCCTTAGCGTACTCATGATGTTTGACGTAACCACCTGCGGGTCAGAATCACTCGAGAGCGCTTTGATGAAAAATAGCTCACGACCGGCCATAGAGACAACGAAATGAGCCATCTTATTCTTTTCTATGAAGTTCGAGTAGAGCGCCGACGCTTTGAGGAGCTCCTAAGTAGTAAATCCTCGGCCGAAAGGATATCTCATCCACTCGCTAGCTACTAGATGGAATAGATTTTGAGGGAGGATATTTCGAAACTTTGTATACGCTTGTTCGATACTATCGTTATAATCCTGGCGGCTAGGATTTGCATCTTTCCAATTGCAAACAAGCTCCTCCAGGCTATTGACTATATAGTCAATTTCCTCTCGGGCTCCCTGATCGGCTTCTGTATACGCGTCTCTATATCGAACGTTATAGAAGTGGGACAGGTGCTCATCCTCGGTGCTTGCTTCCCCAAGACACGCGCTTACGTCGTCCTTGAATTGATCAATTCTTTCTTTGATGACGGCAAATTTTACATAGTCTACGATGTTGTTCTCGTTCTGGTATGTAGGGCTTTCTGATATTAGAGACTTGTACGCCGGTTTATTAAGTTTCTTGGAATAATTTCTATCACGGAGGAATTTGTTCCAATCTTTCATGTCGAATCGATACCCGTTCTTTGGTGCATCAACTAGGTGGTCTCGGAGGTCGGATAGACGAACCATCTTAGGCGTACTAAGAGTGTTAAACTTATAGGCGTACTATTCCTAGTAGTTTGCGCAAATTCCGAGTACCTTCTCTAAGATTTGAAAGTCGGAAGCTCCTTCGAGAAAGCTTTCAACGTTTCTAACGTCAGAAAAGAGCCTTGAGTCGATATATATACCAAGGCTTCCTAGATCGACCGGCACTGGAGGAGGCGCATTCTGAAAATCTTCTACAAGTAAAGGTTCCCAGCAGATCCAGTATCGGTCACCATCATAGTCTCCATTCGAAAGCTTTTCCGCAAGTGGAAACCGGCCGTGGGTAGGAAAAACCACAACATCCTGAATTGATGCAAGTTCAGGATAGTATACTGCGCGAACTTTTTGAACATTTGATGGTCGGTGCATTGGATAACGAGCAATGAGCACATCCATGTTGTGTAAACATGGGAGCTGTGCATCTGGCAAGACACGATAAAATGAAAGGAAGATCTCGCCCAGTTGGAGAACACGCTGGAAATCAGCTATGCCAAAGGCGAAAGTTGAACGGGGAACTCGAACTCTTAGTTTATTTCCGAGATTATCCAACCAGCTTGCGATACCTTTCTTTAGAAGCGAGGAAAGATAGTAACACGTACGCGGCTCAAACCCAGCCTTAAGCATACGAGCAACCCTTTCCAAAAGTAGTTTCGGCATGCTTCCTTGAAAAAATGAAGAGGCGTCATCGGATAGAGCTCCAGGGAACCTCTCCGTTGCCCATTTCAGCAAAGAGACTGGGTCTTCACCCAATATATCAACATTTTCCTTTATTTTATCTTCTTTCTCCTTATACTATCCCAGATTAAAACACCACAGTTTTTACTACTAGAGTATCTTATTCGAATAGTCTAGTCTGCATATCGCCTAAGGTAATAGGCCAGGATAAATAAGTACAACTCAACTCAATTCAATTTAACTATATAGGTTAGGACGAAGGCAATGGTGCAGGCACGGCTCATAGGAGTAACACCCACTATTTATAGTAGAGGCACTATTTTCCATGTTCGAATTATAGATATAGTCTATAATTATAACATCGCTCCAGCGCTATTAAAGGGCGAGAGTTCCCTTTCTAGCAAAAAAAAAAAAAAAAAAAAAAAAAAAAAAAAAAAAAAAAAAAAAAAAAAAAAACAAGAACGTTCATTCTCAAATCTCTTTACTATAAAATTCGACTTATCTAATAGTGTAAGTATGACTAGCAGCAAGCCTTTTATATACAAATATTATGTAGCAGTTATGTGCTCGCATGAAGGTGTCAGGGGGTAGTAGGGTGTAGCTCTTCCTAGGTAGGATAATAAGCCACCAATGATGCTCTATAGAGTGGGTAAGTCTAGTTTCTATTATCTACGAACCATATGAAAGCGTTTAAATAAGAGTACTGTGTTATCACTTCCGCTTTTTCGTGTAGAACTATGGATATATGTAAGCCTTCCGAGCCTTAAAACAGATTTTACGTAAATAGTAGAGTGTGAACTCACGTTTATAGGATAATTCGGTTGGAAATATACTTCCAGATCGCGGTTTACTTACCGCATATAAGTATATAAGCCGTAGTTAGGAAAGAAGATTGGTTAGGCCTCGACCCGCTAATTTATTTAGTCGCTGTTAGTATTACGCCTATAGCTATAAGGCCACACCTATTAGTTCCAGTAAAAATTTACGTAAACTAAACATTATAAAAAATTATACTAGTTATCGATAAGTCTTTGCCGGACGTCCCTGTCACCTGGTAAAAACATTTAATAGTATCCGAGCCTATACCGCGCTAGCCGAGCACTTTAATCCTAGGAACCCCCGCCTAACCTTAAAGGTTCCTATTTGGCGATCCGTATTTATACTTGCATCCGTACCCCTTCCGGCACCCCTTCCCTATGCGTGCTTGCGCGCGCTCGTGTCATGTATCTATTCGCTAACTTTATAATTGTGTTGAGTATAGTAACCTCTAGCTACCGCAGCTTCGTCCTTACAACCTTGTTTACTTTTAACACTAAAAACTTATCGCACGAATAAGATGCCTCCACGATAAGGCTTATAAGAATAATAACGCACTCATGTATATACTATATAGGAAGGTGATAATGTCGTCTAGACTTAAATAATATTTATATCGCTCAGTAAATCTATAGCGCTCTAATCGATCTCCCAAAAACTATTAGTCAACTTATAGAAATAACAGTACGTGTTGAGATAGCAGACATAATAGGGTCTTAAAGCGTAAGGTATCTAATCATATTTGCCTTTAAGCCTTAGCTAATCGATCTATTAAGTTGCTTATTCACAAGATAACTCGGCCTAGATATAAAAAGGAATTTTATGCTGTTACGGATAGCCCATATTTAGATATACCGACTATTTTTTCATCTTGGTAAGCTTAGTAACTATATTAATTGAAACAGTTAGCAAATTACTTAATGTTAATCTAAATAGGGGTAGTGTACGTCCACTGGTTACTGGCTACAGAAGTATTTATTAAGGATTCCCAACTCTCGAAGAAGCCAAACAATATATGCGGAAGAAAGGGATTGAAAGTTTTAACGAGTGTATCCAAGAAGGAGCAGGAAATACGACTCCGATTCTTGGGCAGGAATTATATTTTACGGTGGTAAATAGAGTCCGGCCAGGAATATATCGAAATTACCTATATACCGCTTCTACTACACGGCTAAAGATGATTCTAATATAGACAGCGGAGATAATGGTGCAAAAATTCCGGTTGATAAGCACCTAGGGGCTTATCATAAACGTTTTAGAACAAAAGCACAAGCAGAAGCTTTTATTAAAGACTAGAAATCTATATTTGCTGAGATATGCAAACAGAAGATTAGGTCAGAACTAGATCGCGGTGTAAGGCCTATCGATATTAGGATAGCTCAGAAGCCGATCTTAACACTATTGAATAAATAAAGCGATGTGGAGGAGGCTATAAATCGGTTAGAGGAACTTAACCTAGCTCAATAATAATTTAGCCCCATTACTGCTTCTTCGTTTTAATATGTACAAAAACAATGCGAAGCCATAACAGAAATACAACTTAATAGTTCGCGTGTATAGTGAAACCGTGTAAGTGAGAAGAGAACGCGGCTTAATTGTAAAAGAGTAGCTGCGAGCTTTATATACGCAGGAGCGAAGCAGCCATATGCTCGCTTGAATAATATAGCAGGGAGGATAACATGGTGTTGAAACAACCAAAAAGTAAAAGCAAATATATAGACCGTCTATTCCGTTCATCCTCTACACTATAGTAGAACATGCGAAAAAGATAATAACCTGTGAAGCTGGCGCGAGGAACTGGATGCTGCTTGTCCTTCTAGGTTACTGCCACCTATAGAGGTATAGAAGCTACTGTCTAGAAGAACACGTTTTCTCTGGGTTTCATGCCGTTCTTGCTCAATGCTAGCCGCGCCCAGGTATCTTCCTCCTGGGATTTCGCCCGTTCCTCGACCTGGCCTCTGTAGTTTTTGCTAATCTATTATTCTCATTTTGCTCTTTCACGCGCGTTCCAAGTTATCAGTATTTATCGGCAGATCCTTCGTCTGGGCGGGTAGGCCTCCAATTCGTGTCAAAGTCGCTCGCTTGTAATGGAAGACTTTCCGTCGCTTCCGCTAGTCTTTCGCCTACAGCCACTTATAGTGCGTCGTACCTATCAGAACATTTGATTTCCGTATAATTTTTTATATTTGTTTTCGCTTTTTGGTTAGTTCAGCACCAAGCTATCCTGTTGCATTCTTTAAGCGAGCACATGACTGCCTCGCTCCTTCATGTATATAAACCTCGCAGCCAGCCACTTTTCTACAAACAGGCTGTGTTCTATTTTCTCTCATACGGTTTTTACCCAATACGCCAACAGTTATCCTCCAATGTTTCTTTGGGGTGGCTTTCCGTAGTTCCTTTTCTTTTTCCAGGCGCTTTATAAGAGACAGAGGAGGAAAATTAGACTAAAATAGAATCATCGGCTTTTTGTTTCGTACAAACGAAGCCATAAACAAAATAACTTCTTTCATAGAAGATAGCGCAGAGACAAATTATTCTGGTAGCTCTAGAGGAGAAATTCTTAGGAATATTGGAGAACTCTTTTGTAGAAACCTCCGGTTAGCACTCTGTTAGGGGAACTTGGAGGTTGAGAAGATCGCCGTGTAGCGTCTTTGCACGCTACATCGAGCTTACAACGGTACACGTCGCATCGCACGGTCGGCGGATCCTCGGCTAGCGAGATCGATCGCATAATTAGCTCCACTCTCTCCCCAAGTCCCTAAGCTCCCGCTCGCTCTTGCGCCATCGCCGCCGGCTCCGCGCGCTTGCTAACAGTGTAAGTCGTCGCCCTAATACGTTCGATTCGCAGCCGATTGATATCGTTTCTCTAGTTTGCCCGCCTCTACTCGCTCGTCATCGGTATCTCGCCCCTTTTCTTCAAGCTGTCGGCATACATTCTGAGAGGAGGATGGACCAAGTTCATAGGCGCCTTTATGCGACGGCGACCGTGCCCGGCTTCCGGTCTCGTTCGGGGCTTCCCGTATAGTCAAGTAGGCCATCTACTAGGTTACGAGTCGCATCTGGGGTTCTATAGAAGCGCCTCCACGGCGTCTTTGTTTGCCCATCCCAGTTGCTCTCGACGTTTCCCGCGGCTGTGGCGTAGGCTGCGTGACCGTCCGCTTGCCCGCGGCGGTGGCAGTCTATGGGGTCAAGGCTGCTCCGGTATAAAAGCCTAGGCGGGTGGGTTTCTGCTTCAACGCAGGGCAACGTTTCTGATACACTTTCGTAGCTTCGATCAATCATTCATTTCCACTAATCCGACGGAGACTTTTCCATCCCCATCTAACTTTATCCAACGCAACGTGTATGCTGTCGTCGGCTACTCTGATAATAAGTTTTTAGGCTATTTATATAGCCTGCCGCAGTGTCAAGTCGCATTTGAGACGCATATGGCCTACGACTCTATATCTAAAGGCGCCGCCTTCTCTAAGCACCGGGTTCCTATCGCCCTCAAAGGCAAGAAGGCAAAGACAAATGTCTTCTTCCTTCCGCCGGAAGAGATTATCAGTCTTGAATTAACTAACACCGACTCTATCCCAAAGCCTCTTCTATAGACCTTATCACGTAGCCAGGATCCTGACATGGCTGCTAATGTTATTAGCTTGCGCTTCACTCGTTCGAAAAAGCGATCAGTTGTCGTTCCCAAGGGAACTGACCTTACCATCAAAACCGCGAACTACACCAAGGTCCTTGCCGAAGTACAGTCTCTAGCTCAGGCCTTCAGTTTCTTGGTCTACATCTCGAGCAAGATTATTCCAAAGGAACTAATTGGACAGGTCTATACCCTCGTAATAACAGTGTTCTCAGATCTATCGGCAACAAATCCCGCCTTGATCGACTATAAAATGGAACTGGAGGCGTCACTATTACATAGGAAGAGCTATATCCCCACAAAGGAGAGGATCCGCCATCCTACGGGCCGCCACCTCCACCAGTTAATACTCCATCTCATTCCAACAAGCCTAACGCCGATGGTTCTTCGCTGTCCATCAAGTAAGCTAGTAAAAAGAGAAGACTTATGTCAGCCAGGATCACTCCGATAACTCTCGTTTTTTCAGCCTTATTACAGTCAGTTGTTACACAACAGCCTTACCCCCTGCACTACTCATTTATCTACTGCAAGGAAGCAATGATCTCAAAGAGAAAACGTGTTCTTTTAGATAGCAGCATATATACCTCCATAGGTAGTAGTAATTTAGGAGGAAAAGCGGCGTCCAATTCCTCGCGCCCAGCTTCACACCAAACTACCCATTACTCTCCGACTTCAAAATGGGCAGGTCTACGAGTATGAAACGAACGACTCGATCGGAGCAGACGAAATTCCAATCATCGATATATCGCGAATTTACAGCGAAAAACTCGAGGACCGAAAAGCTGTTGCGGAAATGGTAAGGGAGGCATCGCATAGAATTGGTTTCTTTTACATAGTTGGACATGTAAGTTTCTCATACAGCAAGTCGTGCATTCAGCTAAGGCATGCAGGGAATCGACCCGCATTACCGCGAGGCGGCGTTCGAGCAAGCAAAACAGTTTTTCCAGCTCCCAGAAGACAAAAAGATGGAAGTATATACAGGACTTGTCCCCAACGAGTTTGTGGGATATCATCCTATGCAGCATTACAACCGGAACTCTTTGAAGCAAAAAGGTGATAGAGAAAACGCCTTAATGATTCGATACGTGCTGACAAGATCAGACCTGAGCGAGGCGTTCAATTGGGCCTATGAGCCAAAAGCCGACCCGGAAGCCATCAACAAAGACGAAAAATCCATCAGCCTCTGGCCTTCTTGTGTGCCCGGATTTCAGGAAGGCCTGCTAGATTACCACAGTCAACTCATCCAGCTGGTACACCGAATGACGCGGATCTTCGCACTTGCGCTCCATCTTCCCGAGGACTCGTTCGACAACTACGTCAAAAGACCAGAAGCGGGGATGCGCATCCTGCACTACCCACAGCAAGACCACTCCGCAGATGACCAGGCCGGACTAGGCGCCCACACTGACTTCGAGTGCTTCACCATCGTCTCGCAAGACAGCAACGGCGGGCTCGAGGTGCTGAACAAGGCCGGGAAATGGATCAGAGCAAATCCAGTGCCGGGGTCGTTCGTGATTAATATCGGCGACTGTTTCATGCGACAGACGAATGATTTCTTTGTCTCGACTGTGCACAGAGTGGTCAATAAAAGCGGCAGGGAAAGGTACTCTGCGCCTTTCTTCTGGGGCTTTGATCGTGAGAAGTTGCTTGAGCTTGTTGCGACGTGCATCAGCGAGGACAATCCTATGAAGTACCCTGTCGTGACGGGGGGTGAGTACTACAGATGGAGGGCGAAAAAAGCCAAAGGAGAAGATGTCGAGCTTAAGTCACACAGCTAGAGTGGAGCTCAAGGGCGTTGTCTATTCCACGTCGAAGGAATATTTATCACGGCACAGCTCCTCATCTTTTGCGATAATAACGTCGAGATCCCAATCCCGCTTCTCCGCTCGTGACTAATACCAAGCTACAGTCGCACCGCATGTGATGCCGTCGGATGACGTTCCGTCCTTGGCGCGCCAAACAGGAGACGCCAAGAACGATCCGCCACCCAAGAGACGGCTGGCAGGGATCGCTCACGTAGCTCTCCGCTTGGGAGCCTTGTCCCTCTCCGACCGATCCGGACAACCACGCGACGGGGGCGCTGGGGCGCTGGGAGCTCCCAACCCGCCAAGTCGTGCCATGGACTCTAGGAGTTTCGGTGCGACAGTGGGTGCTTGGCTTGCGTACGGCTTGGAAGCGGGCGGTTGGGCTCTTGGGCGGGCGGGTTTAAGAGCCTGCTTGCTGCTGTACTGCTGCTGAGTTAAGGCGCGCCCTCTGGATATCTGAAAGCATCGATGTCGTCGCGATCATGACGCCGCTCATCAAGCGAGACGTCGATCTGCAAACACCCATCGCGGCGGAAATCGTCGCCGCTATCGTGATTTGCATCCTGCTGCTATGTCTCGGTCCGCTGTATGTCGATCTCCATCAAGTCCTGATCGTTGTCGAAAAGCTCCGTCGTTGACCAAAATGTCAGAGTCGCGGTATATCGTTCGCAAAGGCGACGCAAGCGTTTGCTTCACATGTCGCCCAAGACGAGAAGGCAAACACGTCAAAGACTTGGCGGTGTGACGCGTCTCGTCACAGAGGAGAAGAACGGTCGAAATACCCTCACTGCCGAAGAATGGTATGCTCGCATCTACCTATTGTATACTAGTTTATGTTGGACAAGCTTACTAATCGATCGGCAAAGTCCCATCTGCTTGGGTCCTCTCTACCAACCCCGACGGCGTTCAACAGACACCGAGCCCGGAAGCCAAGGCCACGAGTCCGAAACAAGCCACTACACGCAGTTATCCAACGACGACCGTTTCGAAGATGACATCGTGGCTTTGCGGATCTGCGATCACCACTTTCACAGCGCTTGCCTGATTACGTGGTATCTCTCGAAACGCTACGATTGCCCTTTGTGTCGTAGGCTGTATACAGTTTTGCCGTATTCGAGCCGCGTCCAGACTTATCGGACTTGTATTGGTGACTACCTTAACCGTAGAAGCTCGCCGGCGAGAGATCCTAGGGAGTTAATGTTCTAGAGCTTTTGGAACTTAGGGTCTGGCATGCGTTCTCTTTTTCGTAATGTTTAAACTTGTTAAGTCTATTGAACGGTTTTCAGCAGTGTCATACTGAAAAATTCAAGTAGAAGATACAACCTCTTCGTACTGTATTGCAGGAAAACAACAAGAGATCTATTGCTCCAGTAACTCTCTAAAAGTAAAAGACTAAATCTATGGGGGTATCGAGCTTCTTATACTATACATCATGCCTAGAAAGGCACGTACCTCTTATTGCCTTCCTTAGTCGAGCCCTTTAACTTCTTAATCTTCGACAAGTTCTTAATCTTCGAAGGGTCAAAGCCTTTAGGCAACACGTTATCGTCCGCTATACTAAAAATATTAAAGACCTTTTGTATCTTCTTAGGAACCGCGGACGTATCTCCGCAAGGGTTCATCTAAGAACTAAAGGTACTCTAAGCCATCTCGCTTACACCGTAAGCTTGCTTAAGAGCCTTAGCAGCCTCAATGCTGGCGACTTTATAGGGTCAGCAAATATTTGTGCTGACGGTTTCTCTGTATATAGGTATACTTATTCCGCTATCAATAGCTTCGCCAGCGCCCGGTATTGCCAGCGTACCAACCTTAAATGCTACGTTCAACGATGACGTCAGCAGCTTACAACCAACCTGAGAAACTTAATTAGCATCTCACTAGATAGGTCGTATATACAAGCACTTACCTCGCCAATTATCGGCAAGGCCTTCATCAGGTCCTCTGCGGCTTTATTAATAAAGGAGACGTCGCACGTATATTTTCCCGGAGTAACCTTAGCGTCCGTTCCTAAAACTCGGTTAGCTAATTTTCCAAACCTACTGCAGATTAGGCGATAGCATTCTTAACTACATTTTTGCTTACCTAGTGCTTTTTCCCAAGTCGGCGCTCCGAGAGGCAACATTAAGAGGCAGCTAGTGGATCTGGTGTCGCCACTTTCAACTTTCTTTTAAATAGCCGGGCCGCAGATCTTCTTGTAGTCTTGGATTATTTAATCCCGAGGTGGGTTGTAAACTAAGCACTGGTTTACATTTTTGTTCCGCATCTTTTTATAGTTGTAGGGTACCGTGCCGTTCTTTAATAGTGCTGATCCGAGCAGCGGAAAGCCCAATAGGAACATGCTGATAGATGAGAATTTTATAATAGCGAACGGTGAGGAAGTTATAATCTTGGGAATAGCTAGAACAAGGGTTCTAATAAGTTCGAAAGGAGATTCGTGTTGAGACTATAGGTGATAAGACTTGCGATGAAAGCACTTTTAAAATCGAAGTAGGATTAATACTGTGCCGCTTTAACAACACATAAGGAACATAGGCTTTTGTGGATAAAGGACCTTTAGATGATAGAAGGATAGCCAACATGGTTAGCTTACAGGGTCGGTATATAACAAACTTAAAGGGTGGGGTCTAAAGTGTGGATAGAGGTAATAGTGGCTTAGCCTCTGCGTTAGCGGCTACGACTTAAGCTTATTTAGAGCTAATGCCTGATGTTTGTGGGGACCAACGGCAAAGAAAAACAAGGCGCCAAGCGAGGCAGAGACGAGGTTAGCCTTTTAGTAGGCCGACATCACCTTACACAGCGGAGACCCTATGGCACAGTCGGTAGCTAAAGATACTCTATAATAACGCTACTCAAACTCTTCAGTGTTGGTTTGGTGGCCCCGTAGCACAGCTTCAGCCTCGCTCTATTATTCCATCGGCCCTATGTACGGCTTAGTCCGTGCTACCTATACGGCCCGTTATCCAACGTCGTAAGGATTTTTCTCTAGCAATCATTATCTATTCTCCACGCTCCTACTCAGGTACAACTCTTCAAAATCTATGAAGAAACTTTTACGAATGACGTTCCTAATTCTAATGCAAAAGCGCATACATAGCTGCTACACTAGTTACTAAGGCGCAGCAGTGGACCCGAATATCTCCGGAAGGGCGCGCTACTAACCGTGCCGTATAAAAGTCGCAATGAATCCGGCAAGATACGGAATAAACACTTCTAATTATAATAACTATCTTTCTACCTCCTATTTTTCGTCGAATTCTAACAACGGCTACGTTACATTTCCGTAAGGGGGTTTCACGGTGTTTTTACAAAGATAGCAGAAAAATGAGCGCTCTAAGTCTGCAACTAGATCCTAATGAGTGAGTATACGTGCTAGGGTTGGGCAGCATCGGAATATTTATGGTATACTGCTTAGCCGATATGCCTTCTAGACCTTATACAACGTTGATACTGCATCGGCCTTCGCTCTACGATGCCTTCAGGAAAAACAATAAGAAAATCAGCATAACTATAATAAAGCAGACGCAAGAGTACGGGGGACCTAACGCTAAAGGATTTAACGCGGAAGGATTTAACGCGGAAGGATTTAACGCCGAAGTGTTAGATAATGACGGTTCCTAGCGGCGGATTACCAGGCAATAAAGCACCACAGAATAAACAGACCCCCACTAGAAAGACACCACCAACGAACCGATCCGCCAGCTAGTAGTAGCTACCAAAACGATCTACACAGTCGGGGTCCTTAAGCCGTTGCAAAGCCGGATTACCCCTAAAACCACTATCCTTTTCATGCAAAACGGCATGGGCATAGTCGAAGAAGTCAACCAATCCCTGTTCACTAATCCTATATCTCGGCCAAAATACCTCCTCGGAGCCATCTCGCACGGTGTTAGCCGCGACGCGCCGTTCCGGATCACGCACACGGGCTTCGCTACCGCATCCGTAGGGCCATCTTCATCCCGGCCTAAAGAACAGGGCAGCGATTACCTGCTCCGCACGCTACCGCAGAGCCCGCTCCTAAACGCTACTGCTTACTCCTACGAGGATGTCTTGCAAATGCAGTTGGAGAAACTTATTGTCAACTCCTATTGCAACTCGGTCTGCGCTTTACACGATTCGAAAAACGGGATTTTGCTCGGAGAGACGCATCGGAAGCTAAAACTTAACCTTTTTGCTGAGGTGACGCAGATTATTCACAAGATGCCGGAGCTATAAGACGTTGAAGGCTTGAAGGACCGATTTGGCATGGAGAGATTAGAGGCGACGGCCGATGGAATTTTGGAGAAAATGCGCAATACGACTTGCTCGATGGTGTGGGATCTAAGGGCTAAAAGAGAGACAGAGATTGCGTTCATCAATAGGTATTGGGTGAAGAAGGGCGTTAAACTGGGCGTTGATACGCTTGTGAATAACATGCTGGTACAGCGCATCCAAGAGATATAATCGAGCTGGACGGCTTAGTTTAAATTTAATCACTTTTTAACAATCGATATCTCTTCCAGCAACACAAACCATTCTTAGTGAAGCAGTAAGCCGCGCGGCTCTATGAATCCTGCATTCACCAGGACCTCGGCTCTTCTCAGGTGTCGTCGTGTCGATGCTTATTAGTAGCTTCCACTTGCTTGTTTGTATATAGTAAGGCCGCGATTGCCCGTCTGTCTTCAGTTGTATTGCACAGGAAAAATTAGATGAGGTGAGATTAGATAGTGTAAAAGCATGACTTTCTACAGGGCATCGGAAGTGGAGATATACCTATGTTCGTGTAATCCTCCGATTGGCCCTAGAACATATTATACCCCGCCATCCCGCTTACAGGGTTCCGCGAGCCCCTCACTCTGCTGATGAAAAAAACGAAAGGATTTCTTTAACCTTTAACACTCCGCCTTCAGCTTGACATGAGTACTGAGACTGTATTGACCCGTTGCCCGGAGGATAAAGATGGACACGTCTTTTGGGAACAATAAAGCGTAGTACGCTTGCTGAACAATGCTAACTCAGGCTACAACATTTACGCCTTGATTAATGAGGCCGTTCACCTTTTCCTAAACTCAGAAGGGGTTGAATTTACCGAAAACGTTGTCTTTATGCGTCACCGAATGTCAAAGCGTAGTTTGACTATATTGTTGAACTTTGACAATTAGAAAGAAAGAAAAAGGGACTGGGACTGGCGCCACGCGGAAATTATCTATTATGATAGCATGGAGAGGTAACAGTGGCAGTTTCGCTTTTTGTCCTTTTTCCTGACACTAAATAGTTCCGGAAATACTGCTTCAGACGGTTCTGCTCCTCAATTAGAGCTACAGAGCCTAGGAGGGCCTTATCAAGCGCTGAATATCCTTCCAGGAAGCATAATTCCCCAGAACCCGATCGAAAGCATCCTATTGATGCTCGAGAAAATCCACGAATGCATCCAGAAACATGTCGACTGTCAAAACGAGATGAACCCTGTCCTACCAACACGTCTCCTAGACATTGGAACAGAAAAAGAGCCGAAAGTCAGACTGCATGAGACGGTAGGAGAGCGAGGAAAATACGCAGCCCTCACCTATAGATGGGGCAAGAACATCCTGGTCACAACCACGAAGAGCATACTCGCGGCAAGGAAAACGGCTATCGCGTGGTTAGACCTTTCACCCACATTCCAAGACGCCATAAAGTTCAGCCGGATGCTAGACCTGCGTTACTTGTGGATCGATTCTCTTTGCATCATTCAAGGTGATGCGGATGACTAGCAAGTTAAGGCCTCGAAAATGGCCGACATCTACGAAAAGGCATACGTAACCATCTCAGCGAACACGACGGACAGCCTCCTCAATCCTTCCACCACGCGCCAGCGCATCTGCCGCTTTACCAAGCACCTTCGCAGTAACAACAATAACGTAACTATAGCAGTCCGCCCTCCTATTAACTATTTCCCCTTCTCAGCCACTTTACTCGAAGGCATTATGGGTAAGACGCCCGCGGACCACCCCCTAGCCTTACGCGCCTAGTGCTTCCAGGAGCGCCTCCTTACGACGCGGCTCTTGCACTTTACAGACGCGGAACTCGTCTTCGAGTGTAAGACGGGGTGTAGATGCGAGTGCGAGAGCCTGCGCCGCAACAACATCAGCGCTGCACGGACTATGTACCTATACGCCGGGATCGTGCGCCGGGAATATATCGCACGGCTGCATATAGCGGAGGATCCGTAGGAGGGCTGGAAGCTCGTCGTCGGCCCTTATGCGCGCAAGGAACTTACCTAACCTAGCGATGTGCTGCCTGCACTAGCGGGCATGGCCGCGCGCATGTAGTCGGAGCGTCTAGGCCGCTATATTACTGGGCTGTGGGAGGCGTACTTGGCTGATGGCCTGTTTTGGTTTGCGAGGGTTGTGGGAGTTTAAGATACGCCGCGACTTGTGGCGCCGTCCTTTTCGTGGGCTTCGTTGGCGGGTACATCGAGGGTCGAGGAGTTGTCCTAGTTTTAGTAGGGGGATGATGAGGCTCAGCGGACGCAGCATTTTGAAGTGCTGGGTTTTAATTACGCTGTCTCGCCGCTTAGTCCGTATGGTAAGGTTTCGGATACTTTTATGAAGTTGCGCGGGAAAGTTCTTACGGTGACGGTTGAGAGTTTTCAAGGCGTACTTCCGTTTGCTAATCCTAATTCGGTTGTTATTTCGAAGCAGTATAAGAGGCCTGGATACCTGTTTATGGATAGGATGTTGGCGTCGAAGTTGTATGGTGGAAAGATATTTTACTGCTTGCTAGGCTTTAGTTGGACTCCGACTTGGGATTTCAAGTCTGAAGAAGAGAAGCAGAAGACTCAGACCATATACTTACTTCTGGAACCGTTGAGCACTGGCAACTACCAGCGCGCTGGTTATATATTCTTGAAAGATATTTCTTCGTGGATTGAATCTACCGAAGAGACGATCATTACGATTGTATAATAATAAAATCAAACATGCTGATTTTATTTTCAAGGCAAAGATGACGATGGTTTTAGACTGACATCAAGGCTACGAACAGTTTCTATTACCTTGTTTGAGAAAGTTTTATATTAAGAAATCGTTTTATAGCATTCATATCATAGTTGGTGACACTTCGTATCTTCCCGCTACACCCGAACTTCGATGTTAGAAATAAAAGACCAAACCCAATTTCCTCTACCAGATCAGACGATTTAAAGACTATAATATAGATCTGGCCGTTTGGATCTGCACGATCCTCCCGTCTTTATCGAGGCGAGGCCGCAGGACCCACTTCTTCCGCTGACGCCATTCAAGTACACTTGCCTTTTATGGATAAGTCTATTGAGCACGACATGTATAACATGAAGAGGCACTATATAAGAGCTGCTTTGTGATGGTTGCCGTCCTGATCATCAGCCTTACAGGAGATGTCGTCACGAAGTGTTTTCCGCCGTGTCTGGAGCAGGTAGAGGATCTCGACACCAAGATTTCCCTGCTCATTGAAAGCGATGGGATGTAGCGCAAAAGGAGTTAAGCTCCATCTGCTAATATTTTTCAGGCTTCACATTAAGAATCGATTTTATTTTTGGTCTCAAAACTACAGGCGTTTCTAACATAACTTAGTCTCAGCTCGTTTCTCACAATTGAATTTAGCATACATACTCGTCGCAAAACGTACCCATAAGTACTTATATTTCCATCTTATCGAATAAACCGCAAAAAGCCGAGAGAACTTGCAATAACTTATGAGCTCGTGTAAATAATGTGTTCAACCTTTTACTTGTTGAATGTAAAAAGGCTTCATGATCATTACCTTTATTTGGAATTCCCTAACAAAAATTCCTAACACGCTTAAACGCGCGTTGTTCCCTGGAATATCTAAAGAAGCAGAAATGTATCATCTATACAGACAGACTAAAAGCGACAATTTCCCTTTAAGGCCGTCTGGTTCGTTTGCTATACGGGACGTAGATCCGCTCGAAGCACCTGGAGGCAAACAGCATCTTCCAGCTTGACACCGACCAAAAAATCTGCGATAAGACTTAACAGTGCCACGTGCTTGATGCACGTACCTGCCACTGATGTTCCCTTGCTTTGCCGCTCACCCGGCTCACCGGAGTGTGGGCGAATATTCCTCGATCTCCGATCCCATTCCCATCCGATGTCGCTTTGTTGGCTGGAGCACTAAATGTTTCTATGCGCAGTCAGCGGTTTGCCGCTTTGCCATGCAGTATAAGAAAAGCCAAAAGTGAGAACAAGCATCACAAAGGGGTGCAACCAGAAGACGTTTAAGAGCAGATAAATTTTATTATGTTCAAGCGCTCAAGTCAAAGCTAAACGAGAGTTGCGCTTAATTGTACAAGTACAGTACTCAATTAACACTACCATGCTCCCTCGCCTCATCATAACCATCATCCTCGGCTGTTATCCCTCACACCCCGTGGTAAGACATCGTCGCATCATCGTCGACCCTCAGAGCATCAAGTCCGCAACAGCTTAGTTGCCGTAGGGACTAGGGAGGCCGACGCTCTGGTAGCAGGCCGCCTTGTTGGAAGAGCAAAGGCTCATGTTCGCATCCGGGCCAGTACGGCACTTGGAGTCGGCGTCATCGCAGCAAGACTGGTCCTTGCAGTCGACGGCCGTCTCGCGCTTGCCGTAGGGGCTGGGGAGACCAATGTTGGTGTAGCAGGTGGCTTTGTCGGAGCTACACTTGCTCATGTTCGCGTCAGGAGCCGTGCGGCACTGGTTGTCCGCATCATCGCAGCACTCCTGAACCTGGCAAGCGTCACCGCTGCGGCGCTTGCTGTAAGGGTTGGGGAGACCAATGTTGGTGTAGCAAGTCGCCTTCTCAGAGCTGCACTGGGCCATGTTGGCGTTAGGAGCCGTGCGGCACTGAGAATCAGCGTCGTCGCAGCACTACTGGACCTGGCAAGCATCGCCAGAGTGACGGGGAGCGAGGCCATTGGGAAGGGCGTAACCGGAAGAGAGGAGCGCCGCCATGGCGATGATCGTGGCCTTGGTGAAGTGCATTTTGAAAGTGAATGAAGTTGTTTTTTGCGAGGAGTCTCGTGAAAGGAGCGGACTGAGATTGTTGTCTTGACTGGAGCGACTGGTTGGCTTGAGAGGATGGTGAGAGAATAGCAGGTGGTTCAGACAGTATATATACCGCTCTGGCTTCTGGTCCTGCCTCCCTTGGAGCTGGCCCTTCCGCCCGTGTCTCCTACATTTAGCTCGTATTTTCTTTCTTCTCCAGGCCGAATACAGCCGTGATGATCGCGGTGGTCCGTTCTCATCCTTGTAGGGCTGTGTAAAGCCTTACCGTGATGTGAGCTTGAGACACTCACACCGATGCGCCGGAGTCGCCGAGTACCAACGTGGAAAACCGGATGCGCTGTTCAAAGTGGGAATTCTATGTGCGCGAGAATGCAGACGGCATGTCGCAGCTTGCACGCCCCGTTGCTCTGCCGCTGGCTTGGCTTTAGCGAGCGAAAAGAGAGTCGCTACTCGCTAGCGATATCGATCAGAGGATAGATACCTAGTGACAGAACCTCCGGGACGGGAGTAAGGAGTGGCGCATGGTGTCGAGGCGTTAGCCCGACGTCCGGACACGAGGTCTCAGTTCATGAGACGAGGACCGACCGTGCCCGGGGGCTAGAGCTTTCTGGACATGACAAGGTGACGTGGCGGAGAGCTCGGCGGGGAAAGTCTGGAGTCGATCTTTCCCTTTCGCGATATTACTGCGGGGGAAAACTCGTGTCCGAATTGCCCCTCTGGGCTAGCGGTTAGGAGCCCTACGCCCTTGAGACGTCCCTATAAACCTTTGCTCTCAATGCAAAACTTCAGGCTTCATCCCCTCGAAAAGCTTGCATGATTTCTTTGACACGATCAAACGCACTATCGCCGCCGACGAGAAAAGCCTTTAAAGCCTCTCCCCCGCCGTTGAAGCGCTTGCCCTCGTGTTAACCCCTGATCGATGGATGATTTCCTTATTTGCTTCCAATTGGGAAGGGACTTTCGCTGTAGAGATGAACATCACACTGCCGTAGCGCCCAATTGCCTGGAACGAACGAGCCCTATTACCGACACCTGAAAGCAATAGTCGAGTGACCATAATTACCTGTGGTCTTACTCTGCTACTCGCACTAGAGTACATCAATTTTAAACTCTATCGTTCACAGAACTTCAAAACTAAATTCGAGAAACCGTTTTCCGGTGAATTCTCGTTTATGACGCAGCCACAAAAATAAGCTTACATCGATAGGCATTGTATTATAGGTAGGCTTCGGCTTGAACCCGAGAGTAAGTCCCGTCCTCTGTGCGTGCATCATCTACAGGACTCCACATTGGCTCGGATGTGGCGAAGTACGATACCCGTGCTAGCATTGTATATCCGATGGACGCTTTGGCCTTCCATTCAGCCACGAGATCGCCCTCGCCTTCCACCGCCCGTACCTGTACAGCGTCCGAGGGCTCACCGATGGTCCCAAGTTTTCTGAACCAGGCAGGCCTCCCCGAACAAAAGGCAGGACGCCTTCACGAAGAAGCCCCTAACTCTATCATCGCAACGTGGCTCAGGTGTTCATTGGCCAATACTAATTCTGGTTTCACCTTAACCTTGCTACCTTGCTGCCATGTGTTCGCCGCCATACTCAACATACGATGGTGCGGCGGTTGTGACAAGGTTAGTAAAGGTGACCGGTTGACGCTGGTGAATGTTCAGTCGCCCAGATGGCTGCTGCGCTAGGAGATGGCTCGATCAACTGGGCGCCTAAGGTAAGGCTATATGGTTTGGCCGCTTACTCTGTGCTGCGTTGGCACTTACTGCGGCCTCTTGTTCACTTCCAAGGCCTCGTAAATGCGACAGTCCTCCAAAACTTTCCCGGATAATATCTCCAAGATTATACCCCTAGTTCATCGTACGCAGGTTTCTCATTTTATGGTTTCGTGTTATCTTGTGGTTATATAGAGTTCCGATTCAAATGATCACAGGGCCGTGTAAAGGGGCATGCTTAGTGCTGATTTGTACTCTGCGAGCTTTCCAGAGAAAAACTTGATTTGCACGAATTCGTTGGTTCATATCTTTAGATCTTGGCCATACATTGCCACAAGGTAATCGGACTATTAGAGAGCGACTTATTTAAAACCAATCACATTTTCTTTTCAAAGAGCTAAAGAGTGGGGCATCCGAAGCTGGAAAGGGTATATGTCGGGACGGATGCTAAAAGATAATCCTTCAGCCTACTGAGAGATGGGCGGTCTTCATTTCGATCAGTGTTTTTACGAACTGGTGGGCTTGGGTGGAGAATCCTGTCCAGCGAAGAAGGCTATTGATGAACATGGCTTTGGATCGATTGCCTAGAACTGAAGATCCGTTTCTAGTGCCAAAACGATATGTTGCGTGGTTTGCTATCTGCATTGAAGTGTATCGTGAGGATCAATGTAAGAGGAAGTGTATTCGAATCTATTTTTCGAGGAGCCCTTACTCTCTTTTTCTAAACTGGAACATGCTCTAGGCTTACTACTTTACTCGAAGTGTTACTCTACTTGCCTTGCGAAATTAGCACCATGGAAGAAGTTTTTTCCGAGCATTATTCACATATTATTGATACCTTTACACGGGTTTTTGAGAGAGATCTACAATTTTCAAATTAGTATAGTAAGGATTTTGTATACTCCGGATGTTTTATCCTTCTACTCAGCTACACTACCTACAGTTTCAGTTATTTAGAGGAAACCGAAAATAGAAACAGCCTATGCCACGTGTATCTCATAGCGTGAAAGACATGTGATGCTGCGGTCATTAATGAGCGATAAAATCTTTCACGTTCGCTTCAACGCCGACAACGGAGATTGGAAAGCCAGTCGAAGCAGATCACAGAAATATTTCTATCCTTGAAGCTTTGGGCCCCATTTACTATACTCGTTTGCTCGCCTTCGCGCTAACGTAGACAAAAACATTCGGTCCCGCTAAGAACGGCGCCAGGTTTTACATACGGGCCGCGTCCTGTTCTCGACAGCACCCGAAGTACGTTATGCATTCTTTGAGAGAAAGCATCAGAAATTGATGCTGAAGATTAAAAGGCTTGGGCAATTGATCGAATATTGTGTTCGGTTGAAGAACGCCGCCGGGACGACAAGACTTTAAGGTCTTTTGTTTTTCGTTAAGATTTAAGTGTCAGGATTTAAGTGTAAGAAAAATTCGGCTTGGCTGAGTTCCCATCAAATAAAGCTACAACAAGGAGAGGAGTCTATAAGTACTTTTCGTATCTTTAAAAAAAACACTACGACGTTTATCCGCCTGAGTGGCTTTAGGCCAATAAAACCTATTTGGTAGCACTATCATAACCCTCCGCCTGTCGTGTCGATTACTCCAACACGCTTAAATGTTGGGACCGAGCCGTCTATTATTATCCACTCAACAACTTACGGGCCATCTTCGAGCGCATATACCCGTCTAAGCTGGTTTGCTGCAATCGGCGAGAGCGGTAGAACATTCTCCATCCCGTCGATATTATCTTTATAATACCAATCTGCTCCGTGCATATACGCCATCTTTACTCCTCCATCTGCCTTTGTTATCAAGACTTGTTTCTTGAAATCCCCTTCTATTGGTTGAGTCATTACCGCAAGTTGAGCTCCATTGTCGACGTTGTATTGTCTCATGGATACTACCAAACAGAAAGAAATATGGTCATTAGCCTGCGCTCCCGATGTGGTATAAAGAGAAAGCAGAAATGTCGGTACTTTAAGAGACAAAACTCACTCAAATCAGTCCCTACCTAAGTCTAGCCCCACCTTCCATAGATCTCGGTTAATAATCCCCCGGAAACTAGATACATGACCGCCATTAGAGTAGCCTTTTTGGAGGGCCTCGCCGGGGGAGGGACGACGGCTATGGGAGTATACTTGTCAGCGATGATGCCATTCGGTTGAAGCTTGCCGGTGACATCGCTACCGCTATTACCGAACGGATAGTTGATTATAAGATCGCTAGCTTAAGATTCGTAGGAAGTAAAGTCGGTATTATCACAACCATCGCACTGCCGTACGTAATCGACGAGGCTGGAGTTCTCGCTGACCTGCATAACACGATCTAAAGCTGGCCATATGGCCCACGGGTCTGGAGATAGCCCCTCTAATAATAAAGAGAAGCCGGACGAAATTTTCATTGCCGGCAAAAAGACAGCGGAAGTCGGTGTTCTACTCAGCTGGCTGTTAGTATTGAGGAAGGAAGAATAAGTACGTTGGAACCATGGAAGTATTTAGACGTACACTAGGTTCTTTTCGCCAATAATTAGCTACGGCTATCGGCGTCCAATCCTTAGGAATTATTGTCTTATTATTGCGAAACAGTACTTCGTAGAGCGTCCAGTTGCTGGCTAAGCTGTTCTAATCTATACTCCAAATTTGCAGTGAATTATCCTAGTAGTAAACCTAAGAATAGTCGATACCTAATTTGTCCGTATAGTTCGCAGCAACGAGTTGCGAGTTCCTAGAAATGCCTCGCTTATTTTTCCCAGTACCAGTCTTAGGCGAGTAATAGATGTCCGAGTGGGAAGGGCTCTTTAAGCCTTTGTTTCGTACCGTACCAAATACTGCCCCAATTACGGCGCCAACGGCAATAAGCATAGCTACAACTAGCAGAGTCTAGTACAGCTTTTTGTACATACCGCAGATCTTTAGCACCCTTCTTTTAACTGGGAGCTTGTTTGCGGTTGATTGAGTTGAGTTGAGTTGAGTTGTATTCATTTACCCTGACCCATCGCCCTGAGCGATATGCAGGCTACGACTATTCAAGAGTTTTGCTACTAGTTTACATGTGATTTGTCAATCTGGGAGGAAAAGGGAAGGTAACGGGAGCGGGTAGT